AGCTGAGCCCCTCTTGAGAAGCTGCCAATTGTGAAGCTACTCAAGAACATCCCAGTATTTTATGGAACCCGAGGTTCATTACTGTGTTCACAAGAGCCCTCCAAGGGTCCATATCCTGAGCCAGATCAATCCAATCCATCTCTCTGAGATCCACTTTAATATTGTCCACCCACCTATGTCTTGGTCTTCCCAGTGGACTCCTTCCACCCGACTTTCAGACAAATATCCTATATGCATTTCTAATCGCCCTCGTTCGTGCTACATTCCCTGTCAATCTCATCCTCCTTGACTTGATCATTCTAATTATACTTGGAAAAGCGTACAAGTTATGAAGCTCCCATTATGCAGTTTTCTCCAACCTCCTGTCACTTTAACTCTCTTCTGTCCAAATAACCTCAACACCCTCAGTCTATTTTCCTCTATTAATGTCGGAGACCAAGTCTCACACCCATACAGAACCACAGAGAAAATTATAGTTTTGTATATTCTAATTTTTGTTTTTTCAGACAGCAGACGAGAAGACAAAAGGCTCTGGACGGAATGGTAGCAAGCATTACATGAGTTCAATCCCCTCTTAATTTTGTCCTGAATCAGGTTTCAATTTTTTATAGTCATTCCCAAATATCTGAACTGTGCCAGGTTTTCAATTAATCTGTTACTTATCTTTATGTCCTGATATTGCCATGCATTTGGTGACGAGATTCCAACATATATTTAGTTTGTAAACGTCCCTCCTTTCTTTTCGCCTGTGACTCCATCCGAATGGTCGTGCAGGTAGTGGTAGTCGATGGCAATGAGCTCTTCTGCTCCGATGACCACTTTGACTCTGCCCTACCTGGTGATGCCGCTGCTGAAGTTGCTTGGTCGTAGCTGGTTTCGTCTTGACCTGGCCCCAAAGCTTCTTCCTTCAGCTGTGGTGATTAGTGGTTGGATTTCAGGATTGGATCCGATAATATGGGCACCAGCAAACAGCTAGAGACTGTTTACGATTCGATAGCAAGTGGTGAAGGGGTGGGCATGTGGAAGCTGACAGTGGTTTTGACTAGCTAGTTGGAGATGAGTTTCTCTTCAGGTCGAATGCGGGTCAGGCTTGGACAAGTGAGGGTGAAACACCTCTGATCAACACAATGCACTTTACACCACAACACTTTATTGCTGTTCCTGTGATTAACATGATACAACTTTCATCACTGTCATTAGACTTGAGACACTGGACTTAGGAACTCTGTGAAACAGCTATTGGTGATGTGACGGACTACACACTTGGTGAGTAAGGTTTGAGCTGCAAAGTATAGCTTACTTCCTAATAACACTTGGCTGCGTAAATTCTTACAACCTGATTTAGTTTTGGCTGACTAGACAAGGGTGTTACACTTCCAATAAAATGTACTTGATCAGCTCGCCAAATTCCTTGGTGCGGTGCTCTTGTTGATTAATTCTAAATTTTCCAATAGCACTTTCAAACTCAAAAGGACTAGGATCAGGTACTAATGGCTCAGCTGTATTTATTTCTATCTGACTATCATCACTGACCCTATGTACATTCAATTACTGAGAGAACTAGTGCTATCACATATTCAAAATGTTGTGGGAACCTGCAAGCAGATCACCATTCTCATCCTTCACTAAGTTACTTCTAGGTTGGTAACCCCTCTATACAGGTCTCTTACGTTCTTGTTCTTACTATTCATTGCAAGTTCAATTTTGTCTTTCAGATATTCCCTGTTAGTTTCACGTCTTATGTTGTTCAGATTGACCCCATTTATTTTGCTTGGATCCTGTAACCACTGCAATTTGGCTTGTTTTCTTCGGTCTAATAATTTTGAGCACCCTTCATCGAACCATGGCTTATGCTTCTTCAGTTCATAATAACCTAGACTCTCTTTGGCAGCAATTTTGGTATTCACTCTAATAGTTTCCTAAGCTTCAGTAACTTCACTTCAGTGCCTAAATTTTCCAAAGAAGAGAACCTATTTGAGATTTCAACACAATTCTGCTCTTTACCCTCTACTGCTGCAGGTTCATCTTACTCTTATTTCATTTTTGCTTCATGGTATTCAGTGAAGCCTATTTTAACACTGCATACACTGCCCCTCTCTGGAGTATTGACTTTCTTTAGCAGAGATATTAACAGCTTACCCACATAATATCCAACTTGCAAAAGCAGTGCACACCTCCTTCTCTGGTATCTATCTCTATGTCTAGTGAGGGAAGCTGCACCAGTAGCTATGCTACTGAATGTTTTCAGGGACTGCAGACACCCTCACCATGATAAGGTGGAAATAGTATCAAGAGAGTTTCTAATACTTCTGACATTGAGACAAGTGTGTAGACAGTGCCATTCAAATAGGTGTAGTTATGTAGAATCAGACTGGATCAGCTGTTGCTGCTGTGGTTGAAGGGAACAGTGTATGCAAGCAGTGTAATTGAATGCACCTGAACAGACTTTGAGACTCTGATTCCAGCAGCAGAGAGGGTTATCCAACATTGCAATAAAATAATAATAGTGGGGACTGTACTGCATTGTTTCTGCAGAACCCTGGGGGCCCTACAGCCGCATTTGGCTCATGCAGCTAAACAGTCTTGTGCAGTTACACAGTTCCTCACCTGCTACACCGACAAGATCACTTTCAAGCTTCTTCGACCAAAAGGCAGCCTACCTGAAAGAATTTTGTTGAGCATCTTTCAGATTCTGCCTTAACCTTTTCTAATGGAATTAATTGCTCAATGCATCTAGGGGATGAAATGAGCATTAGTTGGAGGTTTCATGACAGTGTTTCAACTGCATACATTGTATATTACGAGAGTGTACTGTTTGTCTATTTTAAGTACATGTAACATAGAACAGACTGAGGAGTCCTGCCTTCTGCTATATAATGCCACACCATCCAGTCATAGTCAAGTGTCTTAGTTCAGTTAGTTGCTGCAGGGAAAAGTATCATTACTGACCTGTTTCAAATCGTTCAACATTTATCAAGCATTATTCCAACCAATGCTACATAGCCTGAGATACTAAGGGCATCGTAAAACAAACCCTAAATAACACACGCTCGCCAGAACATTCATACACTTATTGGATACAAGTAGATTCTAAAGGTTTCTGGAATCGATCAATTTTTGGACTTTCTCCATTGTCCTGCTAGAATTAGCACTTTCTAATGGACCCAGCAGAGTAGTTGTGCCCCCCCTCCCAAGAGTGGACCAAAACAGACCCAGTTCCTGAAATGGTACATTCTCTAGTTTTTTGAACACCAGAAAACGGACACAATCCAAAAATCAGGAATTCTAATATACAATACCAATTTTAAGTTTTGAATTCTTGTGAATGAAGCTAAGTCAGAATTTTTTTTTCTTCTCCTTCAGTTAAGGTTCAGGCTTGTAGGTCATGTTAAGCACCTCACTGTCATTCTGCCCATCTTCTTTCACATTTTTTTTTATTCCATGAAGTCTGTACAGTTATTTGTATCTTCATCCATCCTTTCCATGCGGTTTTGAATTGCCTTCTATATATCAGCCCCTCTGCTGCATCTGCTATGCCAAGTGGCTGTTTTGCAGTGCACAGCATGTGTACACAATGTGATGTAAAATTTATATGCATTTAAAAGGTTCTGCACTAGCGGGATGTGACGTCTCAAAAATAACAACTTCCATTAACAATTACTAACTCAGGTCCCTGGAGTTATTTATGTAGCAGTAATTAACATATATCTAAAACTAAAAAACACATAATGCAAGAACACATTTCTTGGAAGAAGAAAAGCTTTTCTTCAGTCTGGTGGAAATACAGGGTTTGATAAACTGACTGGCTGGATGCAAGTCACTGCCCTCCTCTATACTGTACTACCCCAATTTATACAACAGAAGAAGCAAGACCTACTGACCATCAGAGACACATTTGGTAATGTTCACAATTTCAGGAGCTAGGAACAGACATGATATGGAAGTCACAGATATGTAGATGTTTCCCATGCAGTGAATTCCTTTTTAATATTTAAACCACCTGACAAAAATAGTATGCAAATTCTTATTTCATGAATGCATTACACGTAAAATATATGCATGAAGATGACCCCGAGCCTTTTCAGTTTTTATGTCACTTGAAAATGCCACGATACTACTTTAAATTAAGTCACTTCCCCTCAACTCATCATTCCCTAATGACCCTACAGTTTGAAGCTGTTTAGTCTGAATACCAAAACACCTGACAAACATATCACAAAATATGACGTTTATTGTATTGGCATCGCAGGGTTAAGGCCAATTAAACCAAAGTGCATTGGCGGGTTCCTTCAGCAAGATGTGGTCAACAACAAATGGCAGTTCCAGGCAATCAGCCTAGAAGTTCTACTGTCAAATATTAACTCACTTCACACAGCTGCACCTTTCCAGGGAAGCTACTGATTGCTCTGCTACTCAATCAATTACCAAAAAGTTATAGAATGCAAGGGTTCCTTACCATTCACTGCCATGTTCACAGCCAAACACTGGACCCTATCCTGAGCCAGATGATTTCATTCCATATTCACTTTTTTCAAGCATATAGAATACATGGCATCAGTCTACTTCACACTTTTCTGAGGACAACTGCAACTAGCAAATCCATTCATGCACTGCCCACTACTTTATATGGTGAAGAGACACAACAAAATGGAACACACATTCCAGGACAATGGAGCAGGATCAGTTCTGGTGATGCAGCGGCAACCAGCACGTGTTACACATGAGGTACAGCTCTGCTGATGCAAAGTTACTGAGGGATGAACGTATACTAGATCTTGCAAAATGAAGGAAGCATTCCTTGGCAAGAAAAGTGTCAGTAATCAGAGATCACTTGATCACAGTGACCCAGAATTAGCTTCGGTTACAGTGAAGTTCTTTCAGGCAGTCAAGAAAATGGGTATGGAGGGCAGCCCTAACTGCACTGAATTTAACAATTAGAAGCTATTACTCTTGTGTCGTTCCACTACATGAAACCTCTGAGTTCCAATTAATAATATTAATGACATTGCCTTATTTTATTAAAAAATTATACAATTACATTTAAATTTACTTCACAATTTTCAGTTGACTCTTCCCCTCTATAGCAAAGAAGACCTAAAGCAAAAAGGAGTGCCTCAAAGCCAAACCACTTTCATTTCTGATCTCATGACAGACCACTCAGTTTCTCTGCTGATATTCACAATGAAATGATGTAAGAAAGTCTTTCATGATCCTTCGAATTAAATTCTGAGCTATTTTATTTCTCCACAAGCAGAATCAACATATTTTTATTTAACTTTCTATTTATAATCATTATACCAAGTATTCCACAAAAAGATATCTCACCTGTTATGTCCAATATAGCATAGTTTGTATTCTTCAGACCAATCCATAACAGTTATCTCAATATACTCAATCCAAGCGATATATCAATCTGTAATTAACTGATCAACAAATTTACTCAAATGTAATGACAGAAGAGCACAGATAACATACAGCAAAAAATATGATGCTGCTGAACTATGTTTATAAGCTGTCCACCAATTTCAGTGAGTACACTCTAATAATCATTAACTTCCACTGCCAAATTAACAACATAACTGTAGGAGTGTGTCATGTCATGTCATGTCATGTCTGTTTCCACTCGCAAAGACAGGATAATGTGCTTATTCAGCAATCAGAATGAAATGGAAGTAATTTGCATAGACGTTTTGTGTCATGGGACTCGGTTCATTTCCTATCAGGTCTAAAGGTTAGCAACAGCAATCAGCTCCAATGTCTTGTAGCAGTCTACAAAAATTGCAGCATGCCACACACAGCAAAACAGTCTTTTTGCAGCATGAAATACTGTGGTATGCTACAAGTCACATACTCATCCTTTAGTTTAAACCCATCTCTACTGCTCTATGATTTAGAGCACATCAACATGTATGAGCTGATGTGTCATCAGTGTGCTCTGGCGACTGAATGACTTATTACATACATCACAGCAAAATGGTGCCCTCCATGTTTGGGCAGACGATCCTTCAGATTACGCTTACAGCTGAATGACTTATTATACATATTATAGCAAAATGGCTGCTCACAAGTATGTATGCACCGATGTGTCTTCACATGACAGTTCACAACTGACTTATCACAACTAAATGGCCGCTCCCCCAGTATACATGCACTGATGTGTCTTCAGATTATCCAACTGACTGAATGACTTATTACACACATCACAGCAAAATGGCCACTCCTCAGCCTGTATCTGCTGATGTCTTCAGATGACTCTTACAACTGAACGACTCATTACACATATCACAGCATAATGCCCGCTGATGTGTCATCAGATTACCCTGCTAACTTATTACATTCATCACATCTAAATGGCCACTACCCAGTATGTATGCGCTGATGTCTCTTCAGTATGTCTTGCAGTCTGAATGACTTATGACACACATCACAGGAAAATGGCCGCACCCCAGTATGTATGGGCCGATGCCTATTCAGATTACTCTGATCAATGAATGATTTATTACATACATCACATCTAAACGGCCGCTCCCCACTATGTATGCGCTGATGTTTCTTCAGACTACCCTGCTGACTGAAAGACTTAAAACATACATAACATTTAAATGGCCGCTCCCCACTATGTATGCGCTGATGTGTCATCAGATGCCACTTCCGATCGAATGACTTATTACATACATTACATTTAAATGGCCGCTTCCCAGTATGTATGAGCTTATGTGTCTTCAGACTTCCATGCTGACTGAATGACTTATTGCATATATCACATCTAAACGGCCGCTCCCCACTATGTATGCGCTGATGTTCCTTCAGTCTGCTCGGAAGACTGAATGGCTTATTACACACATCACATTTAAATGGCTGCTCCTCACTATGCATGTGCAGATGTTTCTTCAGATTACTGTTACAACTGAATGATTTATTACATACATCACATTTAAATGGCTGCTTCCCACTTTGTATGTGCTGATGTACTCTCAGAATTAGCTGTTGACTGAAAGAATCACCACTCTCATCGCAGGAATATCGTCGCTCCTCATCATGTACACGTTCAAGTTCATTTAAAGTACTCTGGAAAAAGAAAGGAAATAACATGAAATATCCTAGTAGGACGAGGAATGAGTCTGAAGCCCCAGTACAGTGACACGTTAAATCAGTAGGTGTTAGAGCGCTAAGAGAGAAGAGGGAGGAAGAGAGGGAGACAGCACACAGCCCCTTGTGTGGTGCACGAGTCCATCAGCATGTATAGTGGTTTCTGAGCCAATACATTTAAGCTGCACAGCCACTGTCTAACAAATTACAAAATTAAATAAAATTATGCATTTGCTAAGGCTGGACAGGCTCATAAAATGAAATAACAATAGAGGTTGAGTTAAAAGATGACACTAAGACAAACTGCATATGGACCAGTTAAATCCTTGAACATAATATATAAAAGGTCTCAAAGAGAAGAATTGTACAGCACCAGTTCAACAGATATGGACACCCTGATACCAGGAACAAATCAAAGTGAGTCATCTCCTAGGATGCCATGCAACATTCCATAGCAATAAAAACATGTGGCTTGTCAGGAAATTACTATTTCCAGCTGTGTGAAATGATAATGGCCATGCCACACTGCGCAGAAGCAGGTGTGGGAACACCTTCCAATACCTGCATGTGCGTCAGGCAACTGTGCCTCATTCAAAGGCATGTAAGGATGACTTCCTGCTTCCTGACTGAGACAACTGACTGCCACGCAGGAATACCACGGCTGAACAAACTGAAATTTTTATGCTGTGTGTTGGTCCACAGGTCCTGCCATGATGAGATGCAAGAGCATAGAAGCAAGCCACAGAAATTACCACCCAGATGTTGTTCTGCTGACAAACTCCAAAAAACACAGTTTCACTGGCTGTTGCATGCAACGGTAGTGCAGTCGGTCCTGCTTATCTGAGGTTAACTGGGACTGCTAAAGTGTGACTTAAACCAAATCTCCTTAATTGGGGAAAATTCCATCCTCAACAAATAATGTAAACAAGAGTTAATAAGGACTGCTACAGTCAAGGTTACCACACATGTCTATAAACTGAGAAGGTAGCATACCATCCATGAAATATTTAAAAAAAGGAATCGCAATCCAACAAACCAAAAAACAACTTCTCCACCCATTCCAAACTAATGACTGTACAGTATTAAAATAGCAGTATTTTACATCAATAAATTTTTAAAACTTGGTCTCTGACATCAAGCGAGGAACACACACTGGGGGTGTTTGAGAAGAAAATTTGGACTGAAGAGAGATGGAACGACAGGAGGTTGGAGAAAACTTCATAATGAGGAGCTTCACAACTTGTACTCTTCTCCAGGTATAATTAGAGTTGTTATCCTCAGGAAGATGAGATGGGAAGGGCATGTACGATTTGGGGAGGAAGAAGAATGCATATACGATATTGGTGGGAGAGCCAGAAGGAAAGAGACCACTGTGAAGACCAAGTTGTAGGTGGGTGGACAATATTAAAATTGATCTTGGAGAGAAAGGATGAGATGGTATGGATTGGATTGATCTGGCTCAGGATAGGGACCAGTGGAGGGCTCTTGTGAACATGGTAATGAACCTTTGGGTTCCATAAAACGCTGGGATGTTCTTGAGTAGCTGCACAGTTGGCAGCTTCTCAAGAAGAGCTCAGCTCCATGAGTGAGTGAATTTAATACATCAGTGCCTGTAGTTTGCAACTGCTATTAACTGCCAAAGTATACAGCAGAATAACTTTACATTCTGTATGTGTGTGTGCGTGCACTGGTGCGCATGAAGCCTGGAGGGTCCTGCCTGAATGGTTTGCATTTCATAAACTCACTGGTTCAAGCTTGCATTTTTGCTTGTAAAATTTCTTTCTAGCATAACACAACTTCCACTTCACATTCAACCTTGGCAAAATGATCACAGAGAGGATCATGGTTCCATGATAACAATTAAAACCCTACATAGCTGAGAGTGTAGCAAGTTCTTTGCTTATTACTGCTGGGACTGCATAATTTTGTAGATATTCTGGTTTCTGTTAGTGTTCTCATTTCTATGCAGATTATGTGCAGAACATGACTGATATATCATTGTCTCACAGTCTGCAACCCTGACATGGTGTAATTAGCTATTCCTCTTTAGTTTGTGTTGCGTGAGGGGGCAATGTCACCAAATTTACTGTAAATTTTTCATACCTGTCAAATACTTGATAATGTGTGCTGTGACGGTGATCTGGTCTTGTCTGGGGTTGTACTGACAGGAAGATGTATGGTGTTTAACATATAGGTAGGTGTATATGTACACTTGCGCCAATACTACATTGAATAATGTTTTTTTTGCCTTCATTATGTTCATTTATGAGTAGATTTATCTTTTTGTATTCGTACAGGGAGTTTTGGGGTGCAAGGTGAGTGATGCGAATATATAGCCTCTCACATACAAAAGCCAGCCTCACTTTCAAGTGGTGCAGCCTATTAACACAGATGAGGAAATAGTGACCAAGTATTGGCAGAGCGGTTTCCGTAGACTAGAGGTAATGTTCCCACCTCATGACTCATAGTACGCGGGTTCAAATACCCGGCGGAGGTTGTCGAATTCTTAAGGGCGGAAAAATTTAGGGAACAAGTCCTCCGGGAGGGACTTTAAGCCGTGGGTCCCGTGTCGTAGCTTTACGGCATGTAAAAGAACCTCATATCTCCAAAGGAGGTCACTGAGCCAAATTACAGACGTTTCCCACCCAACAGCAGTCTCTAATACCTCTGGTAGATAGGGGAAGCATTATAGATAGCTCTCAGCTAGTAGAGCCGGTCTTGCTAGCTGGGCGGGACTGATGGTAAGCACCAGTACCGGTAGGATATAAAGACTGGTAGAAATCATAGAGGGAAGCACAATGAACCAATACAGGTCTCAGTGTTGGGGAAACCCACCCTCTCCAATAACTAACTAAGTATTGGCAGAATGACCAAGTCTACTTTTTAAGCAAGGAAGGAAATGTTCTTGCTTATGCCATACAAAAACTAGTGTCACCAATGTTGTCGGGGCAGGAGTCAGGTCCTCACGTGGCAGCCCCGCCAGTATACTCAAAAGTCAGTACGCTAATAATCCACTACTCTTAAACGCATTTTATTAAAGAAACACTGACAAGGAAAAGATGGACTGCATGAGGAAAAATGACCTTTGGCCTGAAATACAGAACAAGAACTGGCCAGTGGAATGTCAGAACATTAGCGCAGAATGGAAAATTAAACAAGTCAGGCAAGAAACTGAAAATTATAAATCAGACATCCTAGGCATAAGTGAAGTTAGATGGGGCATTTTGGATAAATTGCCACACAAAATGGATTTACTTTTCTGTATTTGGGATATAGTGTAGATGAAGGACTTGTTCGTCATGATGAGGTAGAACTTTTACACAGTAAAATTGCAAAAAGGACTCACAATTAATGGCATCCGATCTGTGAAAGAATTTTAACAGCATATTTTAAAGGGAATATATGAAATGTAATACCTATCCAAAGTTATGCCCCAACTGATGGAACACAAATTGACAAAAAAACAGACATTATATTTCCAGTTATCTAGAGTAGCCACAGACAGTAACAAGAGGGACATAAAAATTGTCACAGATTTAAATGCCAAAGTCAGAATTGAAATTAAAGGACTGGAACAAGTAATAGGAAGACACGAAACAAAGGAAATTGGTGAAATGTTCATATATTTTTGTGCCCGTCAAGAACTTGCTATTGGACGAAATTTGTTTATACATAAAGAAATTCATAAAAATACTTGGGTTTCTCCTGACCTTAGAACTGATAATCAAATAGACCATACTGCAATAAGTCGGTCTTTCTAAAGATCCCTTCTAGACGTCTGCACAAAAAGAGCAGCAGATATTGGTAGTGATCCATCACCAAGTTGTAGTATATTTTGAATCAAAATTACTGCTAACAAGGAAAACTATGATGATGTTATGAGAAAGAGACTAGATGTACAGAAATTAGAAAATGCACAACTTAAACAAGAACATAAAATGGAATTAAGAAATTGACGTCAAGCTCTTAACCACTCAGGCAATGAAGACTGTAACTGTACTTAGGCCGCGTCATAGCTCAAGCAGTTAGTCACTGCCTTTCCACCGCGGTGGCTCCAATTGCTCCACAATCACCTTTGCCTGTCATCTGGGACTGGTACAATAGGCCAGAAGTGGCCACAGTACAAGGGACTCAGTCCCACCCCAATAGCAATAATAATAATAAAATTGGACAGGAAACAAGAAAAATCTTAACTACCTACGGACAGCATCACCCAAGAGCAGATATAGACCGTCTGTATGTTCCTAGAAAAGAGGGAGGACGAGGCCTGATACAGATAGAGGTGGCTTACGTGGCAGAAACCACAAACCCAGCGGAATATATAGAAGGAACAGAAGATCAACTGATGAAAATTGTTAGGACACACCAACGCAACACAAGTTCTTCGCTGAACACAGCCTGCAAGTACACGAAATTTTTACAAAAAAAGGCAATAGCTCAGAACACAAAAGAAAAATGGGAAAAGAAAAGAATGCACGGACAATACCCACGCAGCTTAGATGACACTCTGGTGGATAAAGAACAGACCTATCGATGGTTGAAATTTGGAGGCATTAAAGGGGAAACAGAAAGCTTAATCATATCAGCTCAGGAGCAAGCAATCAGTACAAACTATTTTAAGAGAAAAATATTGAAAGAAGAGATCGGAAGTAAATGTCGACTGTGTAAAGAATACGAAGAAACTATAGACCATTTAACATCAGGATGTCCCGTTTTGGCGAAGAACGAATATATAGTAAGGCATGATAAAGTTTGCATGCTTTTACATTACTCAATATGTAAAGAATTTGGAACTGAAGTACCAGACAACTGGTACTCACACGTGCCTAAGTCAGTATGTGAACATGAGGATATAACCGTGTTATGGAACCAAGGCGTACAAACAGACAGAGAGGTTCTGGCAAACAGGCCAGACACAATAATTAAAAACAAGCAAAAGAAAACCTGCATTCTTATAGATGTATCAGTACCATCGGACA